ATTTCATAACAGAAACTTACGCTATGAGTTAACATAACATAAGCAGCCTGGCCTTGTTATGTTTTGGTCCTTCTGTTTTACAAAGCAGGAAGAAACATTGTCTTGGTTTCATCTGGAAAGGATAACTGGGAGATACAGAGTCAGGGAGATACAGAGTCAGATCCAGGGAGAGACCAAACAAACTGTAAAGGAAAAACTCAGCAATGTCACCTTTGCATGAGAGCCAGAAATAAATGCCCCTTCCCCTTTAAAATTTTTTAAATTTTATTTTTTTTATTAAGCACCGTGATTTACAAAGTTATTTGTAGTTGAGCTTTAGACATTCATTATTGCAGCTCCGATCCCACCACCATGGTCAACTTCCCTCCACCAAGGTTCCCAGGTTCCCTCCCATATTCCCGACCCCCCGCGCCCACCCCCCTCAGCCTGCCCTCTTGACAGGCAGCTTTTCCAAGTTTGTTGTTAAAGTTTGGGTCTCTTGATTTCAGCGTTGTTGATTCTGTGGTTTGAATATGTGGCTCTATCATTCCTTAACCCCACCTCGTACCTGATTCCCCTGACCTGGACCCATTGTTTCTCATCCATCTCTTCTCCCCTTCCCCTCTATTTCTTCTTTCCTTCTCTGCCCTATACTGTGTGGCCTATCTAGGCATAGATCTAGGCATACCCCCCTTTAAAGCATTGCATTCCCTCATCTAGTTATTTTAAATACTACATATATTCCTTTAAAAAATAAACAGTCCAAAGAAGAGTTTTTGGGCAACAGAGCCCTAAGTCTGAATGTGGGCCCTTAGCTGAAATGTGGGCCCTCAGCAGAAGATAACAGAGCAGCCTGGGTGCCTGTGCCTGACCTGGGTTCAATTCCTGGCCCCACATGACCCTCTGAGCATCCCTGGATGCAGTTCTGGAGGCCCCCCAAGTACTACCATGGCGGCTCTGGTGGTTCTGGGTAGCACAGGGACCGAGCAGTGTCACATCCTCAGACCTTGGTGTTAAACTGTAGGTCCTATTGGTCTAACATCGCTGGGACTGACCGTGGGCCCTTGGAGCATCACTTGGGAATCTCCCTGACCCTCAAAAAAAATCACAGAGCAGAGTTGACAATGGAAGAGGCTTGAGAATTCAGCTTGTGAGTGTTGCAGTGTGAGAAATTACCCAAGAAGTCTCCAACACACTTGTTTGCTCAATTTAAGAGCCTTTATTAACCTTCTGGGCTGCTGACCCTGAGAACATGGTTTTCAGCATAACAAACAGCCCCGAACCTGAGTCCAGGCAGTTTTATATATTCTTATCACTTCCTGCTTTGCTACATCAATAAACTTTCTTCTAACTAAGCAAGCAAGCATAATGCAGCAGTTAGACATTTGTGCTTAGCCTTGAACAGTCTACTTGGCAGCTGAAAAGAGCAACATGTGATAGCTACTTAGTCTAATCTTGGGTTATTCTCTGGGCAGCCTGTCCTTGCCACCTTGGAGTGTCTCGTCCTCCTTCCCAGAGATCTCTCATCAGCCACCTGCTTTTCTGCTACTGCTGGGCCACCTTGTCACATGAGTCTGTTGCATGCCTGCTCTGTGCTCAGTATGACACCTAGGACCTGTTGCACCTGTAGTGAGAGCCTAAATGAACACTGAAGTAAAGGGTCAGGAAGTCCTCTGGCTGAGGCAAGGGAACTTTGTTACTAAATCAATCTTCTTTCCATTTCTAAAAGAATCTATAAAATGTATTGTTCCTGCCTTTTTGACTCTGTGGAGTAATAGAGTCAAAAGGATCCAAACTATAATGATGCTGATGGTGGTGAAGAGATGATGGGGAAATGGAAAATGAGGGGGCTTTGAAAGAGCAGAAAGGGGGAGAAAGGTTTCTGAGACTCTTTTCCCTAAGGCCTGTGCTGGGGGTTCAAGACAAGCACCCCTGGGGTGTGTCACTCTGAGACCTATGACTGGTCCCTGGCACAGAGTTACCAGCTCCCGGGTAGTCTCACGAGAAGTCACTATCTGTGTTTTCATCCCCACAGATGAAAACCCTTTTGAACACCTTACCACGCATCTGAGGGTTCTCTCTTGCTTGCTCAAACCTGCCTGATGCAGAAAGTGAGGATGCTACTCCAGGAAATCATAATAACTCTTGGTGCTTGAGAGCCTTCTAGAGCTTTCCAGCCCACCCCTTTTGTATGAATCGGAAGTAGACTCAGCAAAGTGGGTAGGATGGCTTTCATTAGAGGCTTAATCTGTAGACCGCCCTGGTGCATGCAGCATTGTGACTTCTTTTATCCTTGAAAGCTTTTACCACTTAATTCCTCTTTTGCAAACCACAGCACCTAAAAGGAGAGAGAGAACAAAAGGGAATGCCCTTGCCACAGAGGCAGGGTGGGATGGGGGGATGGGGGATGGGAGAGATACTGGGATTAGTGGTGGTGGAGAATGGGCACTCGATCATTGTATAACTGAACCCCAAGCATAAAAATTTGTACGTATACAACTGTACCTCATGGTGTTTCACTAATAAAAATTTTTTAAAAATATTTTAAAAAAAGAAAAGGAAAAAAAAGGTTTTACCACCGCTGACACCCTTACACTTTCACATCTTTAGTGTTTCCTGGCTCCAAATATCTGATTTGATCTAATCCCTAGTAAAGAGCACGTTGAAATAAAATAAAAATAAAAATTCCTCCTGATAACCGGTTGGTTTGGTTATTTGGGAGCCAGTGCTTGGGATCAAACTGGGATTCCCTCACGCAAAATATATGCTTAAGCCTGTTGTTATTTTCCCAGCTGTCTTCCCAATAACCTCTTCTCAAGCACTCTGTGCTTTAAGAAAATGGTTACAAAACGCCTGCTTAGCATATAAGTCAAATCAGAACATGGATTCATTAAGTTGTGAAGATGCCCCAGACACCATGGTTTGGGGATGAAGGGAATCAGTGGTCACTAAGATGCTCTCTTCAAGAAGACTTTCTGCTCTGGGGAAAGAAAGTCCTTCCCAGCCTAAGTCCTGGGTTGCAAAGAGAAATCTTAGCACTCGCTTTCTGACTTCTCCATTCATACCTGGCAACAGCTACTGCCACCCTGGCTGTGGGTCCAGGTAGTACTGAGAGCAGGTAGAAGGCTGGCAACCAGGCCTCTTCCTGAGGGGTAGAGCTTGCGTGTCTCCTGCTTCATCACTGCTCACTGCAGTTCCTGAGCAAAGTTAGTCCTGGCCCTCATCAGAGTGACTGTACACTTCCAGGTCTCTCTGAACTTACTATCCCACCAGTTAGAGCACAAGGCATAGGAAATCTGGGCTCTGTGCAGATGTTGAGCCCTCTTTGTCTCGGGAAATGGGGCTGTTGTCAGTGGAAGTTTTCCAAGAAGCGGTGCTCCTTCCTCTTTTGCTCAAGTGTGCATTCTTCCTGGCGCTCACATACTGGAAAATGCACCCCACATGGCAAAGCTTGGCTCCCAGATTTCAGAGAGCCCGAAGGGCACCTTAACAAGCCATGACATGCCAATTATTTGCTTTTCTGGAGAAACCTCAACCTGAAAATCCATTTAATTACCATAGGAGATAATCTTTTAAACATAGTTTTACATTCCTTCAAGTCTTTTCCCTGTGGGAGTAAGAAAGTTTATCTGAACATGGGATTGGATTGTTTATTTTCATTTCCAAAGGAAGGGTTGTCACCTGGTAGTTAGCAAGAAGCCTGAGCCCAGAATATTTCATTTTTGTGTCTATTCTTGCATACTGACAGCTTGTCACTGACATTGTAATAATTAGTTGACCGGATTGTCACGCATCTTCCTGGCACAGACCTTGCACTTAGTTCTGTGATTCCAGACCTACATTTACTTGATGGGTTTTAAGCGTCCCTCTCATGGGGTGAAGGGGTCCCATGTTTACTGTTCATACCACACCAAAATTCTTTGTTCTCAAGAGCATCTTATTAGAAAGGTTAGACATACAAATCCACCATTTGGGTCACAGGCCTCTATAGAGCTGTGGGCAGTCCATGTTTTCTCAAAAACCGGGGCATTTCCCAGGACTCATTACAATATTTCCCCTGGAATGCAAGCCGGGTGGGTCGGGGCCCCATTCCTGTGTCATGGAGCAGGGGGTCCCATGACTGAGTAAAAACCCTTGCAGGAATCTGGATGCTTTGACCTGTGCCCCAAGTTCACAGGCACAGCGGTTCGTGAGGAGAGCCCCATGCTCTGCCTGCAGCTGCTGTCCAGAGAAACTGCTGCATTAGGAGAAGGACTCAGCAAACAGATGTTAAATTGTTGAAATGCAAGCAGGCTTTGTGAGGAGAAGAGGGGGGTCATGAGAAAAGAAGAGCAATGTAAAAGAAAGCTAAGCCACCCAAGAATAGCAGAGATAAGGATCAGGAGGTTTACTCTATGGCTTGGAAGCCGGCCTCACATGCTGGGGAAAAGGCAGCTCAGATAGAGAAGGAACCACCAAGTAAAGGGTGTTTGGAGGACCAGCTCGTGTTGGGAGATGCGTGCTGAATGTAGATTATAGATCGAACACAATGGCCTCAATGCCTCTGTTGCAAACCACAACGCCCAAAAGCAAAGAAAGAACAACAGGGAACACCCTGCCACAGAGGCGGGGTGTGGTGGAGGGATAGGATGGGGCTGGTGGGAGGGATGCTGGGACCATTGGTAGTGGAAAATGGGCACTGGTGGTGGGATGGGTATTGGATCGTTGTATGACTGAGACGCAAGCACGAAAGTTTGTATGTTTGTAACTGTACCTCACAGTGATTCACTAATAAATATAAAAAATAAATGTAAAGTTAAATCTTTGTGGTGGGCTGTTAGCCCAGTCCCAGGCCCACCACCTCCCCTCCACACACTGCTTGCATGTGGGGACCCGCTTCTCAGACTGGACCTTGAAAAATAGATTTCTGGGGAGAAAGGAAATGGGAAAATGAACAATTGCACTGAACACATTCAGAATGAATGAGAGAGGGAAACTGGTGGGTAAATGACTAAATCTTGGGAGTGACTCTCTCCATGCAGGTCCCAATGGAGAGAAGAGCTGGTCTAAGAGATACCCGTCCTGCGGGGGCCTGCGGCAGTCCCCCATAGACCTGCACTCCGACATCCTCCTGTACAACGCCAGCCTGGCACCCCTGCAGCTCCAGGGCTACAACCTATCCGCACAAGAGCAGCTTGTCCTGACCAATGATGGCCACTCTGGTGAGGGGGCACTTCCCTTGGATCTGGCCAGACAGTGAAGAGGCAGTAGAATCCGTGGATGCCAGGACTTTCTCTGGAGGAGGGGCTGGACATGGGGAGGGCTCGGGGGGATCCACATCTCTCAGAAGAAGCACTTCTCTCCAGAGGAGACAGGCCTGAGGTCCCTAGGCTTCAGAGGTGAAGGGGTGAGCTCTGGGCTCCATTCAAGGGAGCATCCAGACTTTGGAGTCAGGCAAACTCGGTGGTGAGTCCTTTCTTGACCAGCAAGCTCTGGGGATAAAATGGAACCTCCTGGAACTTTTATCAGGAAGATGGCTGTGTTGAGGGGTGTGGGATGACTAGATATTTGGCAGGTGGGGTTATAGCTTCTGTTTGTGGGGGTGAGGGATTCCACAGCTTCCTTCCTTACTTCCTGCAAGACTCTGTCTTCAGCGTAACACCTCATCTGCCAAGAACCATCCCCCCTCTGCTCTAGCACGAGCTTGTTACCCTCTGTTCTTGGGGTGCCAAGCAGGAAATGGTGCTGCTTGGAGGAGCAGCTTGAGGCAAAAGGGACAACGAGGGGACAGCCCCAGTTTCTGATCGAGCACTGCCTTGCTGGCTCCTGTGTGACCCCGACAGTGCTGAAGGCCTTGAGGGGGCACCCCGCAGCCAGGACCCTGAGACCTGCACCTTCTCCCCACAGTGAGGCTGAACCTGCCCCCCAACCTGTACCTGCACGGTCTCCCGTTCCGCTACAGCGCCTCGCAGCTGCACCTGCACTGGGGGGACCACAGCAACCCCCGGGGCTCTGAGCACACCATCGCAGGGGAGCACTTTGCCGCCGAGGTGAGAGGGCACGTGGAGGGGGTGGTCGCAGGAGCAACCTGGCTGGAGCACAGTTCAAGTCAGCTCTGGAGCACAGCTCAAGTCAGCTCACCCTCCAAGCTCTGCTCTCAGGCTCACCTGGCTCCCATCACCTGGGCCACTGCATCTTCCAGCAGGTGTTCTCAGAGATTTTATGGGGTGTGACTATTATGTGATACTTAAACTTTGCCAGTATTACCGGGTGGGGATGGATGGAACACACAAGTTCAGAGGCAGTCACTCAGCTGGTCACAATTTCAGGGCACAGAGGGATCTGGACATTCACTAGCTCTCTACCAGCCTGGGAAGTCAGCACTGCCTTTGGTTATGCCACTGGTGGGACGCACCTAAATGCATGAGAAAACAGGAGGAGGTGCAGAAAACCGTTCTTGTTTTATAAGTGTACAAACAGTGTGTGCGTGTGTGCATGTGTGTGTGCATGCTTGCATGCATGGGCAATTTCCGAGCTCTAGGGAATGGAATATGGGAGTGTGGTTCAGATGTGTGCATATGTATTTACACGTGGAGTGTGTGTGTGAGTGTGTGCGTGTATGCATGAGTGTGTGTATGTGTGCACGCGCGTGCACCCACACATGCATGCATGCCCCTTTCAGTGCTCCCGAAAATAGAGTATGGGGGTGTGATTCTGAATGTCTCAGGGCAGCACAGAAAATCTGTGAGCTGAGCCAGTGTAGCGAGCCCACAGTTCGACTCTTCTGCTGAAATTTAACATCTCAGACTAATTACATGCCAAGTTGCATATGTGGGAGCTATAATTCTGGCCCAATAGGATGGCACGACTGAGACACACATTTCAGACCATGCCCATCTCTGAACCTTCCTGAACTGCAATTTCTTTCCAGCTAATTGCAATGCTCGGGAATAAAAAAGGAGTTTGGGTGCAGGCCTGGGAGGGTTTGAAAATACTTCTGGCCTTTGTATTTTCTGGTATTAAGTCCCATCATTAGACTTATGGCCTTATGAACAAGTATCATAAAGGGCAATACAAGGAACATTGCCAGGATAATGGAACATTGCCACGAGAAGGCAGATTCTCAGAGAGGGACAAGGAAATACCATGGTTCCTTGGAACTGAGTATGTCAGAGATGTCCTTCAGACCTCAGGACAGGGACTGATTTTCCTTTCGTTCTAGGAAGTTGGTGCCTCCTCTGATTTAGGCTGAGCATAACAAGAAAAATTCTTATACAGAGCAAAGCACAGAGGTCTGCTCTGAGGAAAAATAAGGGTCTTGGACTGTGGAGGACTGTAGTTATACACAATTCTGTTTCATTTTTCAAACAATACATGACCTGAAATTTTTCAAACAAGTAGATAAAAAACACTCCTGAAATTCATATGGAACAAGAAACCCCCACAATTAGCTAAAGCAATCCTTGGGAAAAAGAAGTTGGGAGGCATCACCTTCCCCAACCTCAAACGGTACTACAAAGCAGTAGTAATTAAAACAGCCTGGTATTGGGAAAAAGACAGATTTACAGATCAATGAAACAGAGTAGAATATCCTGAAAATGACCCTCAAATATATGCTCACCTAATCTTTGATAAAGGAGCATGAAATACAAAGTGTAGCAAGGAAAGTCTCTTCAACAAGTGGTGCTCAGAAAACTGGGCAACTACATCTAAAAAAAAATGAACCCAGGTCTCTTTCTAGTGCCATGCACAAAAGCCAGATCAAAATGGATTAAATACCTCAATATCATAACTGAATCCATAAGGTTTGTGGAGGAAAATGTGGTCAAAACCCTCCATGACATTGAAGCTAAAGGAATCTTCAAAGATGAAACACCACTGACCAAGTAATTGGAAGCAAAGATAAACAAATGGGACTGCATTAAACTCAGAAGCTTCTGCACCTCAAAAGAAACAGTGGCCAAGATATAAAGACATCTCACAGATTGGGAAAAATATTTACCAAATACCCATCTGATAAGGGTTAATATCTAAGATATATAAGGCACTGGTAGAACTTTACAAGAAAAAAACATCTAACCCCATCAAAAAATGGAGAAAAAAACATGAACAAAAACTTCCTGAAAGAAGATATACAGATGGCCAATAGACACATGAAAGAATGCTCTACATTGGTAATCATCAGGGAGATGCAAATAAATACAACAATGAGATATCATCTCACACCGCAAAGAACAAGAGCAGTCAGTGCTGGAGTGGATGTGGGGAGACAGACTCTCCTTTATTGTTGCTGAGAATGCCGACTGGTTCAACCCTTCTGGAGAACAAGAAGGGCATTTCACAAAAAGCTTGAAATTGAGCTTCCATACAATCCTGCAATACCACTTCTGGGAATATACTCTGCGGGCCTAAAAACACACTGCGGAAATTCCATCTGCACTTCTATTTTTATTGCAGCAGCACTATTCACAATAGCCAGAATCTGGGGGGGGGCGAGGGGGGGAACCCTTATGCCTGAGAGTAGACAACTGATTAAAGAAACTATGATATGCCTACACAGTGGAATACTATGCAGCAGTTAGAAAAAATGAAATCATGAAATTCACTTATAAATGGGTGAACATGGAGAGTAACATGCTGAGTGAAATGAGTCAGAAAGAGGACAGACATAGAAGGGTTGCACCCATTAGTGTAATATACAAAAGCAGAATATGAGACTAATACCCAAGGACAGTAGAAACAAGTCCACAGTTGAAGCCTGCCTCAAGTGCTAGGGAGAAGGCAATTGGGTTAGAGAAGGGACCACTATGACAAAGATAGTTGGAAATAATCACACTGGATAAGAAGTGCATGCTGAAAATGGGTAAAGGAATAAACATGACAACCTCTCAGTATCTGTATTGCAAACCATAGTGCTCCAAAGGGGTGGGGAGAGAAAGAGAGAGGGGAAGTGGGGAGGAAAGTGCCTGCGATAGAGCCATAGAGGCAGGCTTGGGGAGGAGGGGTGGCAGAAGGGAAACTGGGGTTATTGGTGGTGGGAAAAGTACACTGGGGAGGGGTGGGTGTAGGATCATTATATGACTGAAGCCCAATCATGAACAGCTTTGTAACTGTTTATTTCATAGTGACTCAATAATAAAAAAATAAAATAATACATTAAAAAAGGGCTGGAGCAATAGTACAGCGGGTAGGGCGTTTGCCTTTCATGAGGTCAACCCGGTCAACCCAGATTCGGTTCCTCCGCCCCTCTTGGAGAGCCCAGCAAGCTACTGAGAGTATCTCGCCCACACGTTAAAGCCTGGCAAACTCCTCGTGACGTATTCAGTATGCCAAACACAGTAACAAGTGTCACAATGGAGACGTTACTGGGCCCATTCAAGCAAATTGATGAACAACGGGAGGACTGTGACAGTGACATTAAAAAAACACACACACACACACATGGCCAAAATATCAGCACAATGTGGCAGGCTCATTCCTTTGGGGGAAGCAAGATGAAGATCTAGCACCTGTAAAATGTTAAGCTATGATCGTTTGAAAGAAGAAGAAATCTGATACAATTTTCATTAGGGTCCTATCCAGCAGTGCTGGGGTCTGGGACCTGGCGCGTCACCAGGGCTATCCTGAGGGAACTCTGGGGTCCTTTAGTAGGGGAGTGATAGATGCTGAGATTAAGCTCAGGGTTTTAAACATGCTATGCATATATTCTATTACTTGAGTTATCTCTCTGGCCCCTTAATCTATCATTACATAACAATATTACTATTATATGATACATTGGTATTTACGTTTTTAAAATTTTATTAAAGCTCCATGACTTACAGAGTTATTCATAGTTGAGATTTAGACATACAGGATTCAAGCAGCAATCCCGCTACCAGTGTCAACCTCCCTCCACCAATGTTCCCATGTTCCCACTCCTATCCCCGAACCCCTAGCCTGCCTTCTTGATAGGCACCTTTTTAAGTTCATTTGTTATTCAAGTTTTGGGTCTCATGATTGCAGTGTTGTTGACTCTATATGGTTTGACTATTCAGCTCTGCCATCCCTTAACACCACTGATGTACCTCAATACTCTTGACCTTGTGTTGCTTTTCATCTGTCCTTCTCCCCAGTCCCTCAACTTCTTACCTTCTCCTCCCTACTCTCTGGAGCTCAGACTATAAAGCTTAGGTTTAAACAAGCATCCCTTGTTTAAACCATTGCATTTCCTCATCCAATTATTGTGAATAATACATGCAAGTGATATCATTCTGTGTTCATCTTTTTCTGACTGACTTCATTTAACATGTCTACTAGTTCCATCCATGTGACAGCAAACTGCATGCTGTAAGGAATGATAAAATAATGTTATACTACTGTATAATAATCTGGTTATTGTATAACTTTATGTATCTAATTTGTTTTGAGGCCATGCCCAGCTGTGTTTAGGGCTTACTCCTGGCTCTACCAATGATCCCTCCTGGCAAGACTTGGAGGACGTATGTGATATGGAGGATCAAACCTGGACTGACCACGTGCAAGACAAATACCTTCCCTGCTCTATCTCTCTGTGCCCTCCTTGATACAGTTTTTTAAGAGTTAGACAAGGTGTGGTCTGGAGTTGTACTTGAAGGGGTAGGGGACATGTTTTGCATATGCAGGACTCTGGGTTGGGGTCAGAACACTGCGTGTCTCCATCCTGTACCTTAGGGCGAAGTCTTGGGCCCTGACCATGCTGGGCGTGGCACCCCAGCAACAAAACAAAATTATGAAGCTTCACTTGCACCTGACCTAGGTTTGATTCTTGACTTAGCATGGTCCTCTGAACATCACTGGGTGCATGGCTGGGCACGGCCCTGGAAGTCCCACAGTGTGGTTGTGTATCTGGAGGCTTCTAGCACCATCTGTGTGGCCTGGGTCTCCCTGTCCCACAGGGCCTGAGTGTCTTGTCCTGGGATCCTGGTGCTGAACTTCTGGTCTGGTTGGCTTAAAACCATCCACCGGGCACCCAGACCTCCTGAAGAAAACACGAAATATGAAATTATTATCTTACACATCTGAAACTAATGTTCTGTGAAATATATCTCAATTTAAAAAGCAAAATGAATGACAAAATCTCAACATATCAGAGAGGCAAAGATTAAAAAATTGCATACACCATATGGATATAGCTACAAAAAAAGATGTTTGGAGGACTGGTAGGACCACTCTGTAGGTTAGAAATCAGGTGGGGGTCTGAAGTGATTGCTCAGAGGGCTGGAGCAAGCACAGGTCCCTGGGGTTTATCCCCAGTAACCCCCACCATCTGGCTCCATCCCCTCCCCCCCAAGAATCACTAGTTATAGCCCTCCTAGCCCCAGCATTCCTGGGGATGCCCCAAAACAGTCATGTTAAACCTAGTCCAAATCTGTCAGACTCATTTGTTTGTTTGTTTGTTTTTTGTTGAGGCCACACCTGGTGGTGTTAAACACTCTGTGCTCAGGGATCGCTCCCAGAAGGGCTTGGGGGCTCTAGGCAGGTGCTGGAGGTCAAACTAGATCTGCAGCTTACAACACAAATGTCCTAGTGTTTTTAAACCTGTGATTTCTTAAGACCCTTTTCCTCACTATCATAATGATGAATAGTTTTTGCTTTGAGAAAAAAATGAGTTTGGAATTTTATATGTAAAGGGGAACATCTGTATTCATGGACCTTCATGGCTCTGAAAATTAGGGTCGGAGCAGGTTAGGTACTTGCCTTGCACGTGGTTGACCCAGCGTTCATGTGGGTTCAATCCCCAGCATTCCATGTGGTGTCCTGAGGATCACCTTGAGTATTGCTATGTGTGGTCCCAAAACAAAACAAAACAAAAAAGAAGATGATGAAAATATCTTGTAGCAAATCTCTTTAAAGGTTTGTATACACCATATGGATATAGCTACAAAAAAACAAAAAGCTATAAGCTATAGCTTTTCTCCCCTGGGGCAGATACTGCTGCACTCAGATACAATTCTAATTAAGTTACAGCTGAAGCTCAAACCCAACTCGGACTGCTTTTGGGTCTTTGTATAGGACAGAGGCTGATCAAGTCACATGAGACTACTTTGTGCCAAGCTTTAGGATAAGTAGGGAATATGAGAAGGGGTTATGCTTCAAAGTACTTTTGCTTCAAGCCGGAGATAATAAAGCAATTAGAGTACATGCCTAGCATGCACCTGACCCCAGTTTGATCCTCAAGCGTGGCCTCCTGAGAATCCTTGGGTATGGTTTCGGGGCTGCAGCTTTGCCCTGGCACCCCAGGTACTGAGCTGCGTCCTCAGGTCCGACACTGAACTGCAGACTGAGTTGGTTAAGTACTGTCAGGGTTAACCTCTTGGAAGCACCCTCCCCCAAAAAGTACTTGGACATTTTCCCGGCTGATTTAAAGCTCATTCATTCAGCACTTTCTGAGCACCACCTCAGACGCTATCTATGAGCAAACCAGAGGACACAGTCTGTCCGAGGGGACTGATAGAAAAGGGATGTTGAGGGCAGCAGGAGGTGGTGTCTGAAGGTGGGGCTAGGGGCCAGCTGAAGTGTGGGATTGGGTCTGTCTCCCAAGCTGCCCCCTGGAAAGGGTCCTAAGTCGCCCACCCCCGCTGGTGGCTTCTCCCGTTGCAGCTGCACATTGTCTACTACAATTCGGATCTCTACCCCAACGCCAGTGCTGCCAGCGACAAGACCGAAGGCCTCGCCGTCCTTGCTGTCTTCATAGAGGTGAGGGTGGAAGGAGTTTCACCTGAGAGTTTTCTGTCTGCATGTAGTGAGGGTTCATGTGTGCCCATCTATGGGAAGTCAGCCTGCCGTCAGCTGCGTCTACTCCAGAGAAGCGGCATTCCCTGCCGGGCCCTTCTCTCTCAGTGCAGGTAGCACTTCCTGTGGCCAGGCAGCAGAAATTGGCACATTCTTTGTGATGCTGGAAAAATGAGCGATAGTCCCCAGCCCTGCTGCATGGATGGCCCAGTGGAGGGCGTGTGGAGGCCAGGAGGGGGAGTCACACAGCATTCCCATCACATATGACCCCCTAAGACAATTCCTACTATCCAAGCTCCCTCCTTTATGGAGAATTTAGAATGAGTCCCATTTTTCTTGTTTCCCCACTAATGAGACAGCATGCACCTCATTTGGCAACATGCAGACTTGCCTGACTTGGCCTGTGTGAACTCAAGCTCCCTGTACCTGTGGTTAAAGAACCTACAAGTAATGGCATTTGGGCTCACTGTCAGATAATCAGTCTCAAATGGTATGCCATGTCCTGGGATGCTTCGCTCTAGAGTCTTGAATTAGAAACAAGAGGTCCTGAGAGTCAGGACCAGGACCACTGACCTCTATGCCACCCCCTCCACCCCTGCCATAGACTTTGCTTCATCCTAATGGTCCTGGTAAATAGATCATTCAGAGGAGACTTTGGCAGCACTGATGACACAGTTGCACCGGTCCATTTCACTGTCAGTTCAGGCTCAGCCTAAGAGCATCCTTCCCATTTCACCCCACTCTGTCTCTGTTGCAGATAGGCTCCTTCAATCCCTACTATGATAGGATCTTCAGTTACCTTCAAGGTGTGAAGTACAAAGGTAAGGAGCCCTTGGATATTCATTCACTCTGTGAGAGAAGGATGTATCAGCCCCAGGTGGGAAGGGGAAGGTGCTACCTGTGACAGGCCCCAAGGAGGCCAATTCATTTCCCACCTCTCAACATGTTCCTCCATGTGTGCTGTAAGTGGGCAAACAACTAATGATGGCCTCTCAGTATCTGTATTGCAAACGATAATGCCCAAAAGGAGAGAAAGGGGGGGCGGGGGCAAGGAGAGAGAGAGCCTGCCGTGGTGGTGGTGGCAGGAGGCATATGGGAGATATATTGGTGGGGGAGATGGGTGTTGGAACACTGTACAACTGAAAGTCAATCATGAAATCTTTGTAACTATCTCACAGTGACACAGTGATTCAATTAAAAAAATCATTCATAATATAAGAAGAAAAAATAAATAAAATTATGAAAAAAAAGTAAGGTGGAGTTCATGCCCAATTCAATCAGCTAATCAGTGGCTGAATAAATAGCAGTACTCCTACGTTTAAAATTCATTCATTCATTCATTCATTCATTCATCAAAAACCATGTATCTCCAGGTCAGGAAATGCTTGTTCCAGCCTTCGACATTGCGGAGCTGCTTCCCAAGAGGCCTGAGGAGTACTACCGCTACCAGGGCTCCCTGACCACCCCTCCTTGCCACCCCACCGTGCTCTGGACCATCTTCCGGAATCCTGTGCAAATTTCCCAGGAACAGGTGACTGTCTCTCCACACAAGTCACAGAGCATACAGTACCCTGCCTCAACTGCCTCTGTCAAATACCCAGTGGTTTGGCTCACTCACCTGCAGTCACACCCGCCCAGTATGGCAGTGCTGGAAGCGCTACTGAGTTTGCCAGGGAAGTGAGGAGACAAGCCCACTTGCAGCCCTTCAGGCCACACTGCTCATCGGTCTCCTCACCTCCCACAGTGCAGCGCTGGATTCATGAGGGCTGGAAGGAAGATTGACCGGATCAGGGAAGGTCATCTTACCAGATAGAAAGCTGGCATTGCAGCAAGGGTCAGTGGGGGATTTCTCCTAAAAGGAAACTTGGGGAACCAGAATACAAATCCTTAGCAAGTTCCTGAGAGGTCCTGGGTTAAGGAAATTTGCAGGGTCACCTGCTGGCTGGTGCTGAAGCTAAGACTTGGGCAGGTGTCCTGAGTTCCCAGCAGGCTGTCAACTGCTCTGTAGTCTTCAGTCATGCTGAGGGAGCGCAGGCCAGAGATGACCCCGTCACACCTCTTTGTGAGGATAACACAGCCCACACTGTTGTGCCTTCTTTTGGGGGGAGAGGGAGCAGAATGGGGGGTTCACTCCTAGTGATGCTCAGGGGACCTTGCAATGCTGGAATTAAATCGGGGCATCCTTGTGTCCCATCCATTGGCCCCTAAGAGTTTCTAAGTAGGTAAGTGGCAGCAAGTGGCAGACAGGCATGAATGAAGCGATGCCTGGAAAGAGGTGACACCATCTCTGCAGGTGAACGAAAATCCACGGAGTCACTCAGCTGGCCTAGAACCTTCTTATTCCTTTGCATGGGACTGGCAGAACCAGTCCCCAGGCCACTCTGGCTTGGAATTAGACTCCAGCGAAGGCTCTTGGGAGGAGTAGTCACTGTTTATGGACCACCTCCCCGAAACTTCCAGGACTCCCTCCTGGCAGGGCAAAAAACCCTTAGGCAAACAGCAGCATTCAGTCTGCCCCAGCCTGCATGGTCAGCTGACCAGCCTTCCCCTGCTGGAGCTCAGAACGCACCTGGGCTGGGAACTGTTCTTTGGCTCTCCCACTGCTGTTTCCAGACGCTTCTCCCAGGAGGTGAGGTGGGAGCTGTTCTCCCTTGAGACCAGACCAGAAACCTCACTCTGCCCTTAGGGGTGTTTCTAATCTCCCTTTCACCCCCCAGCTGCTCGCTTTGGAGACCGCTCTCTACTGCACCCACATAGATGACCCATTGCCCAGAGAAATGGTCAACAATTTCCGGCGGGTCCAGAAGTTTGATGAGAGGATGGTGTATGTCTCCTTCCAACAAGGTAAGAAGGTGCAGAGCCTGTGGGCATGGAGTACCAAGAACTTTGTTCGAAATAAACATGAGGCCCTATCCTCTCCTTGACATTTGTACATGATGCTAGTACAAGGTGAGCTAATAGCTCTTTGGAAGCAGGGAACCGAGGCTGCTGAGGAGCTACTATGGAGAAGGGAGTTGGGGTCTCCTGACACTGCCTTTACAGTGAAACCCAGAGCAGGATACATGGACCAGAGCCTACATCAAGTGTGGGAGTCTTCCAAAAATGTGGGAAGATATTTTTGTGGGGTGGAGGTAAGTTGAGGTAGAAATTCCTGAGACCCAACCTCTAGCTTTTGACCCTGCACTGCCTTGGTATCAAGGCCATTTCATCCTTCCAGATGACTCATGCAGGACCACTGGGACCACCTTTGCAGGCTCTAGAGAGTGAGTGTAAGTGCATTTGTATCCACAGCAGGGCCTGAGGACAGGTCCCCATTTACCTCCTGTCTCAGGAGTCCCTGGAAACACTCTGCAGGTTGAAATTTAATGGCCAGAGTTAAATCTGTTGACCAGAAGGACATTTAACATCAGCACTTGCTCGGTACCTGCATTAACGGTTCTGGAAACTGAGGGTCTGGGAAGAACATCTGGTGTCTGCATCTTCCTTCCAGCTGTCTGCTTTTCTCACTGAATTGCTTGAGTAGGTCCTTATGTTGCTCCCTGCGGTGGAATTTTGACAAGGCAGAGGCAGAGGAGGTCTGTCAAACTCCCATGTGGTCCCATCCCATCAGGTTTGGACGAATGAGCCATATGCTCCTCCTCCTCCCCACCCCGCTAAAACACACAGCTGAGAGTCAGGTTTTACCCAGTGCTGCATCTTTGGCTCCTACTCGTTGGGTGATATTATACCTCTCACATCCCAAATTGCTGAGTGTGTGAGGGTTGTATTTCAAGGTGCCAAAAAGATTTAGAAGCCAGTCTCCAGAACTGACCGGCAGATCTGTCCCTCAGACCAAGTTCTTTTCTGTGAGTCACTTCACTGAGAATTTGTCTCTTGTGTTCTCTCCAGAGATCTCTTGCTAAGGTCATTCCCCCCTTGTCTTCAGTTTCCCAGTCTGAAGACTAAATCTGTAAGCCAAACCTTTTCCTAAGAATGGAGTATGTCTGTGATGATGATTCCCAACTTCTTTTCTGGAAGATTCTTCAAATGTACCATGTTTTCCCTCTTATCCATCCTGGATAAAGCTCTCTATTTTCCCATCCTAAAAATTAGAATTGAAACCAAACTTATAGTTGTCACTATTGCTCTAAAATTCTTCAACTCTTAAATAATTTTTTAAACCCATAAAAATCCTGCTTAGAGATAAGGGGCATGGCCCACCTAGATCAGGTAGAGATTTGTCATTTGACAACAGTGATCAGCTCTGTCCATGAAGATCATCTGTACCAACCCCAGGGTAACAAACATACCCATGAGCTAGGAGACTTTGATATGCTTGCTCCTGGATAAATGATAAGATAAAAATCTTAAGCTTTCTTTTGGGGGAGAGGTCCTCTCAGCAGTGCTCAGGTCTCCACGGCTCATTCTCTGCAATACTCTGCCCAGTTCTTTGACAGGTTCCTCCCGGCCCCTTGGGTCTTGTGATGCAGTACTGTTCAGCCAGCAGTGTGTGGGCTACCAGGTTCCATTCATCAGTGCTTTGTGGGCCCACTTATTGCTGGGGGCTGAACATGGAACCTCGAGCCTGTGCTCCAGCATCTCTAAGCCCCTCCTGAGTCTTCTCTGCCCTTGGCTTCCTTAGTGATTAAATGGCAGATTAGAGGAGTGGGTGAATGTACTTTTGGTGCTGTTCTGAGTGGACACTAACAGCTGCCCCCATGACTTTACATTGCAGGGACAGTATTTGAGGGCAGTAACAGACCATCGGAAGAAACCATGCAGGAACTTGAGCTTGACATCCAAAAGTAACCCCCATGTAACGCGGAACTGTGGCCTTGGGAACAGTTAGCCATCTTCTTAGACCGGCTCAGGTCTAAGTTGGCGCTTGTAGAGTAGTGGTGCAGAGAAGCTTGTGGCCAGGAAGCTTGGGGCACAGTGCTTTGGTAGAACCTCCCAGCCTAGCAGGGGGAGCTTGGGGGGTGTCTGAGCAGAAATCCCCAGAGCAATGCCTGGCATAGGACATTAAGACCAGATCCCAAGTGTAGATGTGTCACTGCCCTCCCTCTCCTTCTTCCCTTCCCTAAAACTCCCACAGACCTTCTGCTTCCAAGAGCTCAGGATGGACCCCACTCTCTCTAGAGGGAGAGTCCATGGCAGCTCAAGATAAATTCATTCATTTGGAAGCTGATTATAGAAACTTGGTGAGAGTTCTCCCTGCCTTCCCATTTCCCAAAGATGAAGGCAGCAGAGGGGACGTGTCTCCAGGAACTATGAAAAGGCAGCTGAAAGAAATTAAGTTTTCACCACCCCCTGTCAGGGCACCACCCCCCTGTAAGCTGCCCTTGCAGGTAGCTGGGAGGTAGGAGCCTATTTATCAGTGTGAACCTTGAGCAGTTGGGACATGCTCTTCACTTTGGATGTGTGTCATGAGTTCTGATCAGGTTCTGCCCAAAGGTAAGCAATTAGAATCAGAGAAGTTCTGCCAGGAAAGAAGTAACTCTCGAGAGGAAGTCCTGAAGTTTATCACATTGGGACTGTGTCCTTTGGACTCACTTCCCCCTCAACTGGGCTTGGGAAAGGAACCTGCCACCTGGTGCCTGTCCTCAGGTGGATTGGCCCAGTCCATAGACAAGGATTCTCAGCTTTGGCACTACTGACATTGGGGGCTGCATTATCCCTGCATGGGCTGCTGTCCTGTGCTACAGCGGCACCTGGACCTCCACACACTCAATGTGAAGAGCACCCCCATCTGGGACAGTGTCCCTGGGAACCAGGGGTGGAAGTGCCCCAGCTGAGAACCTACTGCCTTGGGGATTGACAATTATTTCCCAAGACCCAGAAATGATATATAATGTACTTTTATTTATGTTATGGGATTCTGGGACTTGAAATCACATGTCCTGGTATTTATCCTATTATAGCATGGAACTTTTCATCTGGTGATGGAAATATCCCAGTTGGAGCTACTGAACAAAGACAGTGTACAAAATCTTGTTACTCCATTCCATAGGAACTTAAGTGTATTCTTTGCATGGAATCGGGAGTATACAAAGCTCACTGAAGTGTAGAAAAGTATATCTGCCATTAAGAAAAAGATGCAAGGGCTCCAGAGACAGTTAAGCAGCTGTGACACTTGCCATGCACTGATGCCCATATGGTCCCCAAGCTTGCCAGAAGTGGTCCCTGATTGTAGAGCCAGGAGTAACTCCGGTGCAGGCCAGATATATATATATATATATCTATATATAGATATATATATATCTATATATAGATATATATGTAGAGAGAGAGAGAGAGAAAGAGTCAATACCAGATTCCTTGGCCCCCTCCTTTGGTACAGTGCTTTCTGTGTGCATGTTTGCTGTTGCACTGGGCCAGGATACCCCCTTGTACTGGAGATGGAGAGTTGCACTTGTGAGGAGCTCAGAGAGGCCAAGCTGAGTCAGAAACTGTCCTCGAGATGGAACCCCAGAGAAGGTGTCTATGTCCCAGGACCATCCAGATCTCAAGGAGTCAGATGCTTCCTGTGAACAGAGGAGAGGGCATGTTGGATTGACAGTCCCCAGGCTGAGACTGGGTCCTTCCAGCAAACTTCTTCCTCGCCAGGGACATCCACACCGGTCCACATAGTGGCAGGAAGAACACAAGGGCCTGGCAGGACATGTTCGGTCTTTAATATTATCCAGTCCTCCTCTCGCTGTGCTCGGGCAGGAGAAACAAGAGGGCGAGAGGAAGCCAACAAGTTTCTATAATCATGTCTTTAGTGGTTTTCTCTGAGCAACTGCTTATCACCTGCCGCAGAGCCCGGGGTCAGCTGAGGTGACTCGGGAAGTGCTGGACAGCAGGGCGGGAGGCTCTGCATGGTTAGAACCTGCTCGGCCCTTTCGCTTGAGGGACTAGATGTAGAAATGCATTTAGAGAGAGACTGATCTTACACAAGCTAAGATGGCTAATGGATCTTTTGGGAGGGAACAGAATGTATGCTTTGCGGTTGTTAACCTGTGTTTCTCCAAGTTTCTATTTATAAATAAAGCCTTTCAGGTGGCTAAGTGCCATCCAATCTTCCAAAGTATCCAGATGAAAGATGAGAGGTATCCCCACCTTCTGGTGGCCCCTGGGTCAGGGGGCGGAATAGCCGCAGGAATCTTCATAATTCAGCATGCCACGTTTCCCAAGAACACCGCAAGCTTAACTCTATGGGGAACAGTGACTGCACTGGGTGATCTGCTCCTCCTAGCAGGCCACCAGCACAGACAATCATGTTAAGAAAGACAGCAGGGAAAACTGGTTCCGCCAGGAAGCTATCAGCTGGCCTGGGGGGTCAATCATGCCGTCATGCCCTGCGGTGTCCTCTCCATGGCAGGTGCTTTCAGGGTGCATGTGGTTTCCTTCTGCACACACTGGTCACTAGGTGGGTGGGGTCTTGTCCCGCCCCCTCCATTTGAAGTCTTTCAAAGCCCGGTAGGAATCGTATACTCACGGGGCTCAGTCTCTTTCCTCTGTGCAGCTGGGCCAATTTGCTTCTCAGGTAGGTTCTCAGCACACCAGAGGGTAACGGTCTGTCACCACGGAGAAGAAAAAGACAAATGTCTCTGTCTTCCGGACACGACAGGCCCATGAAGACAGGGCAGGTGGTGCTCCCACCCTCCTTCACCCCCAGTCATACTTGGTGCTCATTACCTGTTGGTTTAGAGCCTGATAGGACCCCTAACCAGTCGTCACATTTCACCTTAAGTAAATTTTGTTTTGCTTTGTGGTTGACTTGCCAAGAGTGGTAAATCAGCCCATTTGTTCCAGACAAATAGAAGATGGGAATTTATTTAGCTGTCAAGATTGAAAGGTTAAGAAAGGGAGGGAGGGATGCC